GACGTTCTTCAGCTCTTTTCAGTGTCGTTACATCGTTACACCGTCTGCTCGAATGCACCGGGCGCATCTCTCCGCGGCCGATGGTATCGCCGTAATCTGCAACAGCTGCAACAGGGTTCTCGCGGTTCGAGACTATCTTATCCGTTGCATCCCTGATTTCTAGGCCTCTCCCTCTCTACCCCTTCCCTACCGCGACTTACCTCTCTGCGCTCGCAAATGGCGGTGGCAATTTGCAGGTGCAAAGTTCACGATGGAGGGAAACCGCTAATGAGGGAGTGGTACGGGGCCCCGATGTGCAACGCAGGGCACGCGTGGATTTTCAAAGGGACGGGTTAATTACCCGCTCTGACCGCTGGAATTGTGACTTACTCGTGCACACTGCTTTCCACAAGCTGTCGTGCATTCACAATCGCTAATTTGTCTTTGACGGCGCTAATCTTTCGTCCACTGACCCCCTTCCTTTCCATCATGTCGTAGAGGCTCTTTTCGCAGTCTGTAGATCGAACTAGCGAATGTTATTCTGCTTCAGCCCGCCTCTTCGAAACCGTAACAGTCCGATGGCGCCTCTCACTAACCATAAATTAATTAAACTGGCGCGGAGGTGTGTGGACGGGTGTCAGTGCGGCGTTCTTCATCTTTTAACCCGTTTCGAACCAGTTCGCCCGCATCCCGTTCGAGCAGCCTAAACCTAAACTCGAGTTGCGCTACGGTTCGTTTCATAATTTTCAAAAGGGCAGGGTTTGCATTTCTAGACATGAATATTGTTGCATTTTAAAGCCTTTCAACAGAATATCGTTTCGCTCTCCTTGGATAGAGAAATTTTGATCTATTTTACAAAGGCATCTGTCAATATAATTGCTCTATATAGAACAGCAGGTAATGACATATATAACTTTATTGTCTGGCTTATGTAATTTCTTCGGCACTTTATCGTGCCGCTAATTACACCCTGAACGGGTGCTAATCGCTTCCAAGTACGTATGTACATCGTTATTATAATTATCACTGTGTGGTCTATGGGAATTTATCATCATAACAACGTCATTCGTCGTCTCTGCACGCACTTATCTTAAATAACTTCGTTTAACTTAAAATGCAACAACATATATATCATGGTCACTCTTAAGCTGGACGCGTGATCGAATAAGATTGACGGAATAATAAGACCAAACACGGAACCTTCACGAATATATTATAATTAAAAAAAAAAAATTTTATTTTTGTCCGCTTTACCATCTCGAGAACTTGTATATTCTCGTTCATAACTTCTCGTTCTTTGTGCAATTAAAACCGTAAACACGGAGAGACGGTCAAATTTTTATCACGTCCGCAGATCGTCTTAGGAACAGCTTATACGTCGGCGCATAGTTGTTCGCATAAATCGTTCTTCGGCCGACGTATGGCAGGAGGGCGTGAATGGGGCGTAGCAACATAGTAACGTTTATTACATTGGCTGGCAACTAGCGAACTGTGTGCTCTCGCCGATCTCTCCAGAGGACCAGACGCGTTAAAACTTTGCGGGATCCCATATACGGGCACTCATCGCGGCATTTATCGATACCATTCTATCTCGTGCTGATGCCGATACCCGATCTTGATCACGAGACAAGCGCAAGGAACAAAGACATCCAAATGATGGAGGTATGATGCTGTCGGTATCGTTATTATTCTTAAATAAGATTTATCCTAGAAGAGGTACGAGTGATAAAGCTGGATAATGTAGTTTAAAATATAAAATACGCCAAAGCTTTGTAGTTTCCCTCATCGTAGATAATGGCGGTCGGTTCGATTTGATGTTAGGAACGAGCAGGGTAGGTAAACGAGGTAGTCAATACGCTCGCGACGAATGTTCCATTCCCATTGTTTCGCCGTGTGCAGGTCACTTCCACGAGTAAAGATCGATCGAATGGCACGGGTGGTCGGATGGCGAGTGCACGTCGTTTTCGCATGAACTCTTCGTTGCGTTTAACTAGAGGTGACTCCGCAAAAGGGGGAAAGCCGGATGCGGTAAAGAGACACCTCTATGGACGCCACTTGCCGGCATTAATTTCTCACGATACGTCGTACAATTCCCTTTTACGTATGTAGGGTCACCAATTATATGCACGCTCATGGTGCAAGTACCGTGCATCGACACATCGTATGTTCGAAAATCATTTAGCGCAATTACCTAGGTGCATGCGATCTAAATTGGGAAGGAATGAAGTAGGGAATATTAATTCTTGATTTGACTACGTTACTTCACCTCACGAATGATGAATTCTCATGGAGAAAAGGCAAAGTTGGAAACAATATTAGGAAGTCGTAACGGGATCGAAATTATTGGTGAGATTCTCACAAAGGAAGAAAACAATGAAGGCGGAGGCTTCAAAGATTTATTTCAAGCCTCAAGGTTCATGTCGGAATAGAAATGTTCACGGGATTCTCGTAGAGGAAAGATAAAAAAATCACAAATTCTGAAATCCATCTTTGCGCTGCTAAATTCGAGATCTTATTTAAGACGCACGATCGTTAGATTCTCGTAATATCGTGTCGGAACGAGATTAAACGCGATCGCGGAAACTTGAGGAAATTAAAAGCGACTCTAAAGGTATCCGCGAGATTCTCGTAAAATGATGAGTAAAGACGATCGTAGAATTCTCGTTTACTTAAGATGGCGCTATAAATGATGGCGAAATTATCGTAAAAGCGGAATATTATTAAAGCGATCGTGAAATTTATACAGTATTCGTACAAAGTTTATATCCGCTCAAATTAAATTAATATTCACGCCTTCAGAAATATGATTACAAGTGTAAAACGTATACAAATTAAAAAAAAAGAATATCTTATTTTATGCAATCATTGGCTGCAGAAAAAGCAGCTTTGAAACTGTAAGATTTTTTAAATTCCAAAGATTTTTAATTTCTCAAAATGTGTTTGGAGCAAACTGTATAAATTACTATAAATCAATATCATATTGAAGAATCTTATAACAGTTGCAAAGTTGTTTTTTTTTTGCTGAATGCAGTTGTTTTACAAATTTAAAGAATAGAAAAACAGCAATTATTGAATAGTATTTTAATGAGAAAAACGCCATAAAAAAAATGAAAATTAACGTGACAATCCATACAGCACAGAAGCTTGTAGCAACATTGCTGCAACGTTGCAATCTTGCTGCAATATTGTTAGAATGTTTGGAAAGATTCGGGGTGATCGAGAATAACATGGATTGCGAGATCACTTACGTTTATACTGTTGAGGGGTGTCGGACTGACACCCCTGCGGCCACTGCCGCCACCACTGCTAACCTCCGCGTCCAGTTTGCCGATTTGTATAATCGTTGCAATGCGAACGGACTCGAGACGGTCCTACGATCCTGAAAACGTGCGAAATCACGCGAGATATGCACACATGTATCGATCGCGAGGCGCGTGGACGATCTCGTTGGCGTTGATAGGTACGCGGGCTTCGATCACGACTCCATCTCTCGAGTGCCTTCGATGATTTCAAGTGTTCTCAAGACGGATGTCTCCTCCCGCAATCGCGATGCTGTCTCTCTCGAGAGCGCGCAATCGTATCTTTCGATTTAAATCGTATCAATAACAGACACGCGGTTACGACACGTCAACGTTGCAAGCGAGTCGCACGGAGTAGCCTCCTTTCAGACAGCCGGCTGCATTCATCGCGACGAGCGCACTGGCTGGCTGAATGGCACTCGTAAAATGTACGCACAGTGCTCGCGACGCTCGTCGGGGAACAGAGCGTCGACGCGCGGCAGGCCGAAACCGCGAGCTTCATATTCACTTGACGCCCTCCGAGCCCCGCGTGAGCGGGAGACGTAACGCGAATCCTTACCGGACACTATAATACCGCGACGGACCCCTTACCGGGTACCCCTTTTTCGTCGATTAATGCGCAGCGACGACGCATCCGTGTCCCACTTGGATTCCTTTCGCGTAGATACTACCTGATTCCCCGACAAGCGGAACATTCGCGACGACGACAACCGGTAACGATGGTGATGGCGATGACGGTAATGACAGCGACGATGGTGGGTGATGCGCGCGTGATTAAGGCGGTGACGGTGACGGTGACGGTGAGGATAAAGGCGACAACCGCGACGAAGGCGAGTCAGCGTGTTGCTCGTTCGCCTTAAGGGCCGTTCGTCGCAGACGCATGCTCGCGGCACGTCGCAGCCTCTCGCACTGACCGCACGTAACACGTAAGAGAGAGGTGCGTACTGTACTTGTGTGTCTACCCCCTCCTTCTGTCTTTCTCTCTCTTTCTCGCTCTCCGCGTCTTCCCTTCCGTCGCGCGCCGCGCGCCGAGCTCGCCCTCCGAGCGCTATCTCTCCCTATCGCGCGCCCGTTCTCTTCGTCACTTTCTCGTCAATTATCGTACGCGTGGAACACGGCCAAGAGGAGAAGAAGAGTTTTCACACATACACGCGCGCGTGCGAGCGCATGCGAGCGCATGCGAGCGCGCCGGACTCTCTTTGAATCTGCTTTGCGCGCCAACTTCTCGCGGGTATCTTCGCGCGATAACTCCGTATAGTCTCCGTAGGGAACGTTGATGAGTCTGAAATTGCCGTGGCGCCACTTTTCCTCCCCTCCCGGTACCTTCATTCTCTTCCACCTAGTCCTCGTCGTTTTCGTCTTCGTCTTCGTCTTCGTCGTCGTCGTCGTCGTCGTCGTCGTCGTCGTCGTCGTCGTTGTCGTTGTCGTTGTCCTCCGCCGCGTAGTCACGAGGCTACCTCCTCTCCGCCTTGCCGCGCGCGTCCCACCTCGTTTTTCCCTATAATTTACTCGGCAGCCGAGCTTTTTTTCCTTTACTCCATTTTCGTATCTCCTCTCTCTATCCCGCCGCTCGTCGCGACTCTGCCGTTGCTACCCTTTGCGTCCCTTTCGTCCCCTTTGCCCTCCACTACCCCCTTCTGTTCTTCCATCGTTCATCCTCTGCGCGATGTCCCTCTTTTTCTCTCTGTCTCTGCCTCCGCTACTGCCACCGCGCCACCGTCACTACCTCTTTGCCTCTATCTCTACCTCTGCCTCTGTCCGCCTGCATGTACCTCTTCCTCTTGGTGCCAGCCATGAATCCTCTATCGGGCTGAGGGGTCAGGAGGGTTGTGTGGCGCGCCGCCCCTTTAATAGCGCTACGTCGACTTCTTCCATTCACCATGCCTCCATCTACCAGTGACAAGTCGAAGCTCATTGTTGCAGTGCTGAATGCAATCACGCTGACACCCTGAGCAAACAATATTCATCAAAGAGAAATTACGTTTTTTATAAAATTTTTTCGATATAAAAAAAATTATAATTGCTATTTCTTTAATTAAAACTTTATAGATTTACAGATTATTAAAATAATTTTCGTGGAAAAAAATACTTCACAATTGCAATACATTGTAAACAATTGTACTGTAGAAGATTATATGTATGATTATGTGTATTGTTATATGTATATTATGCTGCGCATAATGGAGAAGAAATATTAGACGTGAAAATAATTAATATTACGATTTCAAGCTATCTCAGAAAATATTTATACTAGAACATACGACGGTATGTTCTGATATAGATAGAAATCTTAATATTTATTCCTATTTCTGAATTTCTTCCATTATGCGCAAGGAGAACGTTCTGCATCTGCGATCTAACAATAAGTCGACCCATCTGTCAGAAAGTACATAGAATGAAAAATATTTCTAGAGCGCTTATATATATACCTTTCCGACTGACCTTTCCTTTGAGTGGAACGAGGAGCGGATGACATCTCGAATGACAAGAAGATATTAAGAAAGATTTTTTAAAATTTCACGGTACGACTCCTCTTTTTTTTTCATTCATATAATATCAAAATCTCTGCTATAAAATCATCGAAAATAATAACTCGAAATTCAAGTGTAAATGATAGAATACTAGATTGTTGGAATATAAGGTAAATATAGGTATACATATAAAAAAATGTAAAAATAATTTTAAAAGAATTTTTTTACATATATTCGTCGAATAGTTCTATAATCTCCAATGGTTAATGCTTAGTTTGTAATCTTAAGGTAAAAAACATAACAAAGATAACATTATAATAAATATTGATATAATAAATATAAGTATAATTCTTTTGACTAGAATAATTATTATAATATACAATAAAGGTGCAATTACGTTTTGTAAATATTTTCTTAATTTTTGTTATGTATCTTTTTTATCAATCGATTTATCTCATTTTCTACATGAAAGTATTAAAGTAAGATGATTGAGAAATGAATATTTTACAAGATATTTCGTATTGGTTAAAATAAAATATGAAATATCATGTAAACTATTGAAGTTTTATGACATTACCTTTATACTTTTTAAAATCATCATTTAAAAATTTAATTGGGCTCTCGAAATTAAAAAACAATGATACAATATCCGGACAATAAAAGCGTTAACACAGCGCGGTAATTGGTGCGCAATTTATAAATAGTCTAATAATATTCACCTCTAATATACATATTAAAATTGTACATTGACTGTCGATATCAATTTATTTGTACGTTTCGGTTTTTTTCAAACTATCTTCAGCAAATTCGCATATGTCGTAGCTATATTGACAATAGTTGGAAGCTGTTGAAATTATGTTCTATGTGAGACCGAGGATGAATGTTTCCCTACTGTCTGGTAGGGAATTGCCCAATTTTTTTTTCTCTTCGCTGCCTAGCCAAGTGACTAACTAAAGAGTATAATAGGCATAATTATTATTTGTAACGTAATGAATTCAAGGTATGCTTATTTTACTCATCCTCCTTCTCCATAGATCATAAATCAATTATTCAGAGCGTAGTAAGTCAAATTATAAAAGTTACGATTACAACCTAAAAATTTCTCGTTATTAAATTAAGTATAAGATATACAATATAACATATGTTATCCAGATGGAAGTCAGACAAGCAATGACCGTTAAAATTATGATCTAAGAGACACGTTCGTAGAAATATAAATAGCTATATCATGCCAATATAACAAATAAATAAATTAAAGGCGAATACATAATGTCACTATTTGAATTTCTCTAAAATGCTCGCATAAGAGTGGTGCAAAAACTCCGTGTCTGATTGTAAATTCAAAATATTTGGTTGCAATTGAATATTCAGCATTTCAGATATGAGCCTTCTACTCAGTTGTCTTTCTCTATCTAAGATTTTTACGTTCTCCCATTCAAATTCATGGCTGTGTTCCAACCTATACTGTGTGATCGCAGATTCATAGGAGGTTTTTTTGATGTCATTTCTGTGTTCTTTTATTCTCGTTTTTAGTAGATGTTCTGTTTGTCCAACAAGGTTGCATCACAGTCTCGACATTGTATTTTATACACGACATTTTTGTTGGAACTTGAAGGGAGTCTGTCCTTATGGCCTTTTATGATTCCATCTAATTTATTGAGGCTACGATACCATAGATTCGTATTCATATCCTTCGTTATGTTTTTGAATTTTTCAGAAATTGAAGGTACATAGAGAGCCGTGAACCAACTTTTTTTGCAATTTCATCCTCTATATCACTGTTACTCTCTTGATGTATCTTTGTGAATAAAAGATTTTAATCTTTAATTAATTACGCTGAATATGAATTCAAGTGGATAATCATTTTCCAAGAAAGTAGTAACTATTAATTCTATGTTCTTTAAGTGATACTTCGGATGCGACAACAAAACAGCCCTATCTAACATCCCGATGATTACCCCTTTCTTTTGTGTTAGCGGATATACAATTTTAATATGTATATTAGATGAATATTATTAGACTATTGATAAATTGCGCACCAATTACCGCACTGTGTTAACTCTCATTGTCCGGATATTATATATGTTTTTTTTATACTTTTTATATTTCAAAAGAATCAATAAGAAAATTTATAGTTTTAGTTAAAAATAAAATAAAATATTTTGATATGATTTTGAAGAGTTCTGAAGAGAGATTATGAAGTTTTAAGTTTTCGAGAACTGTTTAACTATTCTAATCAGAATGAGCCACATTATATATTTATAGTATATACATATATATTTGTAATATATTATATATATGTATATATATATATGCATTTTATGTATATGCATTTATATATATTATATATTATTATATTATATATAACATTATATATATATATGTATTTTACATATATATACATTACACACCTATGTACACATCACATCGACAAGGATAAGTAAAGCGCGCACGCGCGTTAAACATTATATCTTTTAAATTAAGTATTCCAGCAAAATATTTATATAAAAATTGTTTAGTTTTGAAAAGGATATAAAATGGTAACTTTCATTTGACCGTGAATGGCTACGTTTACACCGTACGCTCAGTCCGCGACCTATACGACAGGTGTCTTTGTTTAACCTACGGGATAAACAAGGACATCTATTGTATAGGCCGCGGCCTAAATGCACAATGTAAACGTAGTCAATGATATTTTTAGTCATATTAAAGTTATCTATGTTTTTATACGAAATTATTTAAATTTTTTTATGTGAATTAATTTTCCTTAATATTCTGCATATGTTGCATATATGTACATGTACAATAATATGTATTTTTACACAAAGTATAAGTATATATTTAAAGTGTAAAAATTATTTTTCTAATAACATATTTAAAAAAAAATGAAATTTTATGATTTTAAGAAAAATTTTTCAAAAATATTTTACAAAATTAATTTTTAAATTTAATACCGTATTTTGTATTAGATTATATGAAATTATATACAATTATCTAATAAATTTAGATTCAATATTACAATATTAGGGCTATTCGAGCCGCGCTAGATGTCATATGCGAATTTTATATACAAAACAATTTCATTCAATTGAGTTTTAAACGTAGACTTATTTATTGTTTTATACATAAAGTTCGCATACGACATCTAGTGCAGCTTGAATAGCCCTAATATTGTAATATTGAATCTAAATTTATTAGAGCCTTACATCTAATTACCTTAATTATTATATAATACAGTTTATATAAAATATAAAAAATTACATAAAATTATATATAATACTTTTCATAAAGTATATCATTAAGAAATCCCCTATTTCATCAAAATATTCAAAATATCATGAATAGGATTTCCGATATTCTTGAGAAGTTGAGGAATTTGAAATTTCTACAGAGATACTTTCGAATAAACTGTTCTTGTTCACGTCATTCTTAATCGCACGAGATTTTCTATTTTCTTTCTCATGCGTCTTTATATGCTTCTTGAGATGGTCACTTCTCATAAACTTTTTATGGCACTTGAGGCAAAGGTACTTCTTTTCGCCGGTATGCGTGCGATAGTGACGTTGCAACTCATCACTTCGAGTGAATCTTTTATCACAGGAAGGCCAATAACAGGAATACGGTCGTTCGCCGTTGTGCGTTCTAACATGCGCCTTGAGATGTGACGATTTGCCATATACTTTTCCACATCCTGACACATGACATATGTGTTGCCTTTTGCCGTTCTTACCAAGTGGGACATCATCCCCTTTCATAATGCAATTAGGACACTCGCATTTCTTCCTGTTGATTTTATTTGGTTTGTGTACGAAGCCTGGAAGTTGAAATTCCGAAGATCCCATTGAATGATAAAAATTATGTTCTAATATATATTCAGGAGAATTGGTCGCTTTTTCCGAAAATTTTTTTGACAGAATAGGATTTGATGAACGATAACATTGGTGGATTGGATCAACTGTTGCAAACTGATGACAATGATATCTTTGCTTTGTTAATGATGTGTCGGTCATTATCTCAGGCGTTAGCATGGCTGTATGTGTATTGTTGTGCGACATTAAATATTCACGACTTTCTTTATAAGCAGCGCTCTGGTATTGGTAGATCGATGTATTTGGCAAAGTGTACGAAGGTTGTCCGTATTTAGTGTCTTCCTGACGAGTTGAATTGGGAAAGATGATAGAAGTTGTATTATTGTTTGATTGAAAGTGATAATTGTTCGGAGTTGTGTAATCATAGACTTGGTTGTAAAAATTGTACTCCTGCTTCGTACGATTCACATTGTACTGTGTTAATATATCTTGAGATGTCAGCGTATTCGTTATTTGTGTTGTACCAGGCATTGAAGATGGGATTGACGATGTTGTTTCAATGAATGTCTATAAATAAAAGACACGTGTAAGTAAAAAAGAAAGAATAAAAAAAGAAATAGAGAGAGAGAAAGAGAAATTTATGTTACTTATTAAGTGTTTTTAAACAAATTTCAACAAAGCACAAGAAGCATACATAATGCAAAAAACAATACATAATAAATTAATAAAAAAAATGAATATTATATGCTAATAAAAATAGTATTGTGTATATATATAACAAAGATAAAACACACACACACACACACACACACACACACACACGATTATAAGATGTATAGAAAAATTTGTGATTAATGAAATAAATTTTAAAAAATTATTAATGTTATTATATTTAAAATTATAAAATATCAGAATGTCACAACATATTCCGATAGCCATACGAATCTTAGTTGACAAAAAAATACTATTGTATACAAATGTCACAAATATGAAATATTAATGTATGAAGAATCATTAGTGTATGATACGTCAAAGCGCGCGAATTTGGAGCTACTTAAAACTTATCAACTTTAAACAGAGGTACCAAAGGGTTTGCAAGTATTGCCGGGTCGTGATTCATTGCTAATGCCAACTGATACTGTATTAGTGCTCTCTTATAAAGTGAACGGCAAGGTTTGTGAAACATTGGCATTAACAACGAATGATGACACGGCGATAATTTGTTTGTAAATTGTAATCTAATTTCCTAAAGATAAGCATACATTAAAAAATAAAAATATTAATATATAAAGAATTATCGAAGATATATTAGACATAAATTTAATACCGCTCGATCGGCATTTAGACCACGCGGGTTGGTGAGGTAAGAAACGGAAACCAAACTGAAAATCGGCTAAAAGTTGCAAATAAATTCCAGCAATTTTAATATAAATAAAACCTTGCTGTATAGAAACTAGCTTACTTAGTATTTTAAGTTTTAATATTGATTATTAAATAACGTAATTTTTAAATCTAATATCTTTAATATTATAAAAACAAAAACATTATGTCATTATTTTTTAAGTAGCGATAATGTGTTACTTTTTAAAATTGATAACGGTAATGAGTTATTTTGCAAGTCACTTTTTACAAAAAGTAACGGTAACAGTAACGTATTACTTTTATAAAGTAATGTTACCCTGCATATTATATATGTTTGCTAAATGTATCTTTGTATATATTGTCTTCTTTCTTTTGTAATTAGTCTTATGTAAACAGGTATACTATACTCAAACAAAAATATTCAATCAGCAAAATATTAATATAAATACATTAATTGGTGTGTTCCCTTTTCGCCACGCTAAGTTGCATGACCATACACATGAGGAGTCACATAATTATACATTGAGACAAACCTGTGGATATATGATAGGTTGTGTGTGAATCCAGGAGCTTACTTCTTGTTCTTGATGCCATGATGCCATATATATATATTGTAATTAAGGCGGAAAATAAGGCGTAATACGCTGTCGAAATCGATTTTATATAAATTCAGAGGAGTAAAAAGAATTTATTTTACTACAATCATCAATGGAAATATTCTTAAAAATATATAATTAATCGCGAATTAGAAGCTGTTACATAAAATTATTAAGATACAGCAGATGTCCAAAATAGAAGTGTATTCTTTTAATATATAATAAGCATATCAATCAATTATTATAATAAATCTCTTAAAGACTTGCTATTTTTTGCAGCCACTTCTTTATAATTGTAAAATCTTTGCGTTTCCAGTGCGGAGATGAATAAGAATTCTTATTTTCTATAAGTTAGAGAACACTCAAGTGGTAACATAACGCTTCGCTTCAACTTTTAAAACTGAGTGGACAAGAGACGGTCATCGAAAAGAGAAGAGGGGAAGGGGATACACGTTCTATTCTAGTGGGGATATTCTTTCGGACGCATGCGCATATGCTATTTATTTGTATCATAAATCATCTTCAAACCTCGACTATTGAATATAATCTCATAAATATCATATTTTACTCGGTAGTTTGTTTTCCCTCGAGACTTTCTGACTATATTTTTAAAAACGAAAAGGTAAGAACAGAACCATTATGAGACAAACTTTTGCACAAAACTTTACTTGAGCATCTTAAGAATTTGTAATTTTTGAACATTAGAAAAAAGGATAAAATCGAAAAAACGGGGAACATTCTAAAAAAAAATCAACGGTTTTTTTTTTATTTAAGTGTTAACAACCAATAATAACATACCATACTTATACATATATAAGAATTATTCGCGGAAATAAAAAACTATAAAAAATGTCATATTTCTAACAAAAAAATATAAATTATAAAAAAAATGGAACGATTAAGTATCAAAATAGCTTTTGAACAAAAGTGTCTCGCAACAGTCTTGCTTTTTTTCGTTTTTAAAAAATAATTATAAAATTTCAAAGAAAAACAAAAAGAACTGCTGTGTAAAATACTAAAATACTTAAAAAGAATATAGATTCTCTTCGTTAACTAAAATTTTTATTTTTAAAAATAGAAAATTAACTACAGGCACCAGGACATATGCTTCAACATATGGCCGCGATCTTTGATTTAAATAAAATAACTTTAATTTAAAATATTATTTTAAACTTTTATAAAATTCGACTTTTATATATCTTTTAACCTTGCTTTATTGCACGCCCTTTTTTGTACAATATACAATTTATGGTGCTCTTTAGAAAAGGTAAAACCTGATCAAGATATTATACGAACTAGTTTCTAGAATTAATCAATCATAACTTAAAATGTATAGCACTTTCAAGAGAAAATTTTAAAGTATTTTACTTTTCTAAATGATATATCTCATATGTATTGATCATATCATTTACTATTTAGTATATAGTTATCGCAATTGATAATGCGACTTTGATATGACTAATTCATACAGTTTAAAGTTTTAAAATTAAAAATAGTTCCAAATCTATTTGAATATTTTCTCTTTTTTTTAATCTTTCTTTTTAAGACCAAGTTTATCATCTTTTAGTCAATTTTTTCTCATTTTTGAGAGTAACGAATTTTACATGCGTATCAAGTTCAAATAGTGATTTGACCGTAGGCAAAATCATTGCTTCATATTTGGCCGTTCAAGATTCAGAGGCGATCGTTCTGGTAGGTAATAATTATCGATAAAGGCGGCGACGGAAGGGAGTAGTAATGGTGGTAGAGCGAATAAGCTTAATCGTTTGGATTTAATTAGCGGATAAGGTTTTTCGGTTTAATTAGCGGTCCTGCTCGCTCGATGTCGCTTCGTTTAAAGATGCGAATATCATCGCGAGAAGCTTGTATGTCGACGTAATTATACGATGGCCAATGATCGCTTGTAGTGTTGCTCTTTATTCCTCTCTCCAATTGCTTACCCTTGCGTGCATGTTTTTATGCGTGCATATATGCAGCGAGTCTCCGCAAGACGTTACATTTTCATGGCCATACGATTTAAACTTTCAAATTGAGAAGTTAATCTTACAATTAGCTCGTTCCGGATATGTCAGAAACTATTATCTTGTAAGTCGAAAAATAAAATTATTTGTTTATTCATGGCATACCTTTATCAAGAAGATTTAATGGCTGAGATATTCAATTCCGCACGTAATTTTACACAGAAAAAGATTTTTTTATTAAATCACTTTTTTAAACTTCATTGTTCAATATTATTGCAAATCTGTAATAATTGCACAAATGAATCGTAGATGAATTTTATATACAAAAATACCAACACCTTTTTTCTTGTTAAAGAGATAACTTGTTAAAAAGATTGAGAACGATAAAAAAATAATTGAGGAAGATATATAACAAAGAACTGAACACTATTTTAGTGTGTACATAATATCAAAATCTCGCATACCGGAAATAGATAATTATTTTCCGGTGTTTTACCGGATGATGAAATATATAATATTTTTCCTTTACTCGTTAAAGCGTTACAAGTCGTGAGAAATAAAATATTTTCCATTAACCATAAATCAAACCAGATAATGTTAACAGAAAGTTTGATAAATACATTACAAATTTCCACTTTTGATCTACTAATGTAGAATTTGCCTTTGTCTGACGTATTAATTACATTAACAAGAAGTTGAACAAACGAAATTCCCAAAAATAAATTTCTGAAAATATTGTGACTCGATGAAAATATTGAACTCGATGGTAATGAGATATAAGTCATATTTACTGTGCGACAGCGGAATGTACCATCATGATCCTCTTTTTCGGCGATCGAGGATTGCCGTATTAACTTGAAATCTTCTCGGATCGAAGATACACACAGGTGGACTTTTTTTCTTTTATATCCAATAAGTCATAAAGCATGTAACCGCGCGATCCTGATGGTATTAAAACGACCTCCGAGCGAACGAATTTCTAACTAACTATAAACACCTCTAAGTTATATCGGCAAACTGTCAAAAAGTGCGCTTTTTTGGGTGTATCGGTTTCTCAAAAATGAAACCTCGTAATACGATCGAAAGGCCGACGGCCACTTTACAAAAGAGTGCCGAAAGACTGTTACGACCGAGAAGAAATATGTTATTCCCTTCGTCCTCATTCTTCGGCCTTTTCGTCTGTCTAGTAGAGGGTCACTTTAATTTTTGACCGGCTGCTGAGCCAAGGAAACGTGAAACGTTCAGCGATATAATTAAATGATCAGTCGCTAATCAGGATTTATCGAATTGGGGAATGAAATATATAATGTAGATGGTTCTTTTAAGTGTTTACATTTTTTTTATTACGAACTATTTTATTGACTTATTTAAATTTCTCTGTTATATAATTGCTGTTATTGTTGTTATATAATTGTTATTTATAGTTATTGTTTTTATCTTTATATGAATTATGAATTTATATGTATTACAATATTCTCTCGATGAAAATTTTTCTCTGAATTTTTATACAAATTGAAATTTTTTCTTAAAACATAAATTTATTTAAAAATTCTAAAAAATTCTAAATTTTGTATAAAAAAATATATAAAAAATTCTTAGAAAAATGTTTATCACAGTTACTTTATTTTTTGCTACATAATTTATAATTTCTTACATGGCTGTAACATTTGTCGAAATATTATACCGGATATAACAAAATGTACGTACTTAGTAGGTACTTATAGATCTGTACATTTCATTTCCTGACATGGTTGTAGCGGCTTTGTTAGATCTCTTGACAAACGTTCTCGCACTGAATGATGACTAAAAAGCATTTCCTATTTCTCTTGATGGCGGTCGCTATTAAGGTTCGAAAGATCTACCGCAGAACAATTTTATACGCGATTTACCTGTCCTCGGCCGTATTCTAACTTAGGTCTGAAAATTTTCTTTAGGAATAGATTAGTTACATGAAAGAGAAACAGAGATAGAAAAAGGAAAAAGGTACCGCGAGAAGAAAGGTGCTGCGAGATCATGGGACAGAATAAAAGAATAACAGTGCTGTTTAACTATAGCAGAATTCTCAATTTAATATTTTGCAGTCAATGTAGGTAGTCTCTATATAACAATTCACTTTTATCTGTTTTCTAAAGACGATGACGCGTGCTATCTTGACTTTGATTGTTTGATTTGTAGAAAAAGAATTAACTATCTGGAACGTCTCTTCGAAACTTTGTGGGATATTTCCAGGGATGGGAAGTAACGCATTACTTGTCACGTCGTTACCGTTACCGTTATTTTTTTTATAATAACGATTTGGTAATAACTACAATTTTTTTATGACGGTCACGATAATGCCAGAATTGAAAAGTCACTTTTGAAAATGACTCATTATCATCAGGGCCATGTTTATAAAATTTGTGACCAGAAGCTTGTAATTTTCGAGTGCCCCAATCTAGCTTCTCCCACTCCTAATGAATATACCTATAATTTTTTTTTTGCATACCTTTGACTAGATTCATAAATACATTGATGAAATATTAATAGTATCTTGTCGGTGGTAAATATCTTGTTAATCATATCTTGTTAGGCAGCAGTTTTAAACAACAAATACATATACTGTTAACGATAGTTGCTATCTATTGTTTCAATTTATAAAATAACAGACGCACTTGTTTAAATTACTTAATTTCTTCACTTTTTTTTTTTAAATTGTAGCGTCTTTAGCTTTTCAGTGCTCCAAGGTTACAGCTCCAGAAATTCATAGGCAAACATGTTACTGGGTTGTTCATTACGCATTACTTATTATGCTTTACATTTTTTTTTTTTATAACGAGTTACTTTTTTTTTTAATAAATAACGCGTAATGATTACGAATTATTTCAAAAATGACTTTACCAACTAGCGTTATTGTTCTAAAAAATTGTAAAGTCATTATCAAATTGCTGTTACAAGAACTTAAAAGTGACGGTGAAAGCATTACAAGTATAACGCGTTACTTCTCATCTATGGATATTTCCTTAAAGTGCTTTCAATAAATGTTCATAAAAGTTCATAAAATAGAATTTTACGAGAAAAAAAGAAAGAACGTGAAGACAAGAAGGGAA